TTACTCGTAACTTGGATGGTCTCGAACATCGCAGATCTGTGGGCGATTTATCTCTCTTCTACAGGTACTATCACGGAAAATTCTCTGAAGAGTTGGCACGTATGATTCCACCGAGAGTAGCACCTACCAGGCGAACCCGTCAAACAGACGGTAACCATGAATTTACTGTCAAACTTGAGGCACCAAGAACCTCATTATATCAGAATTCATATCTCTGGAGAACAGCATCGCTGTGGAATAAACTCCCTGCGACGGTTTTCCCTGCAGGTTACAACCTGAACCGTTTCAAGACCAATATACACCGACATTTCCGCGCACTTGCCGCTTCTCGAGCGTGATAGGACATTTCCTTGCGAGTGCGCATATCCGAAAAAAAAAATAAAAATGTCTATGTTATCAATAATTCTAGGGCATACGTATATTACAATTCATAGCGACGCGAGAAATTATTCATGTTTGTCGGTATATTGTCAAAAAACTATTCGCAATGTGAGTATATTTTCCAATATAAAATAAGGGATGGAAAACTAAAAGCCACAAGGTATAAATTATCCAACACATATGTAAGATTAGTTAAGGCAATTTCCATATTATTCCAAAACAGTTTGAGTTTTTGTGAAAAAAGGTTTTGTATTATTTTTTTTTGCACCAATATTCACCTAACAAGTGCGGAAAATGAATTTTTACGCACGAGTCTGTCGTTCTGTGAAGCAGCCGAGTGCGAAAATAGCTATTTACCTAACAAGTGCGGATAATGAATTTTGAAACTTTTTCCGCACTGATATGCGTGCGGTAAAAGTTTTACCGCACCGTGCGGGAAAACTCATTTTCCGCACGCATATCAGTGTGGAAAATCGATTTTTCCGCACGGCTGTAGGAAAATTATTTTCCGCAAGTGTTAGGTACATATAATAGTTTTTCAGAAGAAAGAAGGAGGGTTTTGTATTTCGTGCAATTTATTAAATCCATTCAGTGCAGAGCGCTTTCGGTCTAGGCCATCATCAGTGCAACCTGGAAGCAAGAGAAAAAATTTTTTCATCTCATTTTTGTAACTCTTAGTAGGCAGTAATATTTCAATTATTGAAAAATCTGTAAAAAAAACTGGAAAGTTAGAAAGTTTCTCTACTCACTTCGTCAGGTAGAAATACAGGAGTTCACAGTTCGAGTTAAAGCAACATACATTGGAAACGAACTACATGGACATTATAACACTTTAAAATTCCTTAACATATTTTTTTCTACAGACGTCAAAAAATTATGACATTTTCACACTGATTTCCGTTTGAAAAATGTCACATTGGTTTTATTTACCTTAACGACGTGCACGAAATATTTCGCGCACTAGGGCACGAAATACTTCGTGCACGCTCAGTGGTGATATTTTAAAAATACATCAATGGAAGAAAATTTAACGACAAAGTGTAAATATCAGAAAAAAAAAAACATATTTTCTGGGGTACCTACCCACTCAAATTGAATAAGTGCAGGATATTGAACTTTTTCGATTCACCCTCGAAATACATTAGAATTACGGTTTCACTCATTTATTTGACGGTTTTGTGCGAACATCATCGTTTTTTGAGAAGTATTATATTGGGAACTACAAATTCTTCTGCAGTTTCTATTTCTAATCAACATTTTTTGCCGAAATGATTCCGCGTCGGTCAGACCTTAGGAAAAAACTTTGACAAGCAGTGTGTCATGGTGTGTCATTATTTGGTCAAAAAAAATTCCGTAGCAACCAGTTAACAGGCTGTTCTGAAATAGAATTTCCTTGAATTATTTAATTTTAATATAACCCAAAATTATTTCAAATTCTGTCTGTAGAAAAAACGTTGTTTGCAACTCATGCGCGAAATGTTTTTGGTGAACTCGAACGATTTTTTGACTCCGCTTCGCGTCTTCAAAAAACTTTCGTTCTCGTTCACCAAAATGGCATTTCGCGAACTAGATACAAAAATAACTAATTATTAGCACAAATTATTTAAATATCACATTATAAAAGAATTGTCTTTGGTTGCTTATGTGATTTTTTTTTCTTTTTTCTTTTGGATGACTTGCGAATTTAACGGTTCTGTTTTTAAAAATGACACATTATTGATGATTGTTGAACCGAATTTTCGCGACGAACTACTTCTATGATTTCATGGACACAAACGCTTTCGCGAGAAACTCATGACGTCTTATTGAACGTAGTTCGACGGAAGCATGGATGCAGCTTCTAGCCAGCGTTCAAACTCATGACGTCACAGACAAACTATGGTTTGTCCTTGGATGAACTACTTCCGTCGCGAAAATTCGGTTTTGGTTTACCCAGCTCGCAATTGCTAGTGATCCACCAAGTCTCACAGGTTCGAGTTTGTCAATTTGTTGTTATGATGAATTAACTTTTAAAAAAAAAATATTTTTTTAGAAATAGAAATTGATTTTGATGGAATTATAAGTTAATATTTAGAATGTTAATTGGTTAATAAATTGTTTATCTGGAAAATAAAAATAAAAAGTTTGTTAATTGATTGATCATTTAATTTAAAAGTCGTCGATGTAGAGGAACATATGCTCGGTTCAAGTTGACCTGAGTGTTCAGACAAGAGAAATTGTCCTGAGGCTCTCTCCCAATCTCGATGTCCTCCATGGAATCCAATCGGTTGAAATTTTTAGAAGTTATGTTGCGGAGAATTTTTGAATTTGATACAGGGCTGAAATTGTCTTTGCAGCCTCTTAGGTGTTCGCCAAAGGCTGAGGTGGACTTCGTCAGATGTTCCTGAATGCGCACTTTGAGTGGTCTACAAGTACGGCCAATGTAGGTGCTGTTGCGTGAGTTGCAATTTAATTTATATATTCTACTTTTAGTAAGATGGTCTAATTTATCTTTTGAATTTACAAGGTGTAAATGTTATCTGTTATTGGTCCTGTATGAAATTTTAATATTTTCGACATTTTGACGGAGGGCTGGAAAATTTTTGGTATTCGTATCTGAATCCAATAAGTGTAGTGTCACATATTATTGGTAGAATAGGGAACTTGCACATTTTTTTTTTTATTTCAAAAATATGTTCTACTACACTAAAGTCATGCCAAATATCAAGCATTAAAAATCAGCCGTTAATTTTTTATAAATATTTGAAGTTACGCTCGAAACATCGCCATTTGAAACGACCGATTAGTGTGACGTCACTCGGCAACAAAATTCCGATGACAGTGACGAGCACTTCGAACTTCGAGCAGGTAGATTAAAATTATGGTTATGTTGCTATGCATGTGGTTTTTGATAGATTTGACATTGGCGACACCAGCAGCACATGACGTGGCAGCGGCGCGACCCGATTATTACTGCCTTGTGACGTCACGACTCATAGAAACACGTTTTTGATCGCGTCATCAATTTCGGATTATTTGGTATTTTCAATTGAAGATTTTGGACACCAGAGGTAAGATATTATTTTTTTTTTCCCAATTGCATCATTTATTAGGATGATTGTTATTATGTTTTATTATTTATTCTATATTTAATTAAATGTGCAAGTTCCCCATTGCTAATGATAGGGTAGATTTCTTCCTTGAGCTTTCTATATTTAGTTTTAACTTTACACTGAAACAACCAATATGACCCTAAAATCATTGACACACCTATAGTTAAAACTAAATATAGGAAGCTCAAGGAAAAAAACTACCCAATCATTAACAATCCTACCAATAAATATGTGGCACTTCCCTTTTTGGATTCAGATACGAACACCAAAGTTCTTCAAGCCCTTCGCCAACATGTCGCAAATATTAAAATTTCATACAGGACCAATAAAAGATAACATTTACACCTTGTAAACTCGAAAAATAAACTAGAACATCTTGCGAAAAATGAAATATATAAATTAAATTGCAACTCATGCACCTACATTGGCCGCACTTGTAGACCACTCAAATTGCTCATTCAGTAACATCTCATGAAGTCCACCTCAGCCTTTGGCGAACACCTCAGAGGCTGCAAACACAATTTCAATTCCTCGATCAATAGAATATTAACCCATAATTCCATCAAAATCAATTTCATATTCAACAGTCAATGCGGTTTTAGCTATTCGTCAATCTAACTGTTTTTAAAAAAACCGGTCAACAACCTGCACTCCATAATTTTAGGTTATCACACAGTGAGAAAGAAGGTCGAGTATTTTCAAAAGACTTTTCAAAAAAATATATATTTTTTTTTAAGTTGACAAACTCCAACCTGTGAGACTCGGTGGATCACTTGCAATTGCCAGCTGGGTAAACCAACAATCATCAGTCATGTGTTATTTAAAAAAAAAAAACTGTTAGATTCGCAAGTCATCCAAGAGAAAAAAGAAATGAAAAATAATCTAACCAACCAGAGACAAGTGATATTTTTCAAATAATTTGTGATAATAATATATTAAGGAATTTTAAAGTGTTGTAATATCCATGTACTTCGTTTCCAATGTAGGTGTGTTGTTTTAACTTCAACTGCGAACTCCTGTATTTTTACCTGACAACTTTCTAACTTTCCAGTTTTCTTTACAGATTTTTCAATAATTAAAATATTATTCCTAAAGTTACAAAAATGAGATGAAGAAAGTTTTTCTCTTACTTGCAGGTTGCACTGATGCTGGCCTAGGCCCAAAGCGCCCTGCACTGAATTGATTTAATAAATTGCACGAAATACAAAACCCTGCTTCTTTATTCTACATTTCCTAACGTGCACACAGCCTCACATTTCATTCAATAGTTTTTCTGCAGACGGAAATAAGTATAACTACATAATTTGTGGAATATATTTTTTTTTTTACAGCCGTGCGGAAAAAAATTTCGGCACCAATATCCGTGCGGAAAAATTTTTCCGCACTAGTGCAGGGATATCAGTGCGGAAAATTGATTTTTCCGCACGGCTGTAGGAAAACCTTATTCCACCTAAGTATTTAACGTGCACACAGCACCCACCCAGATTTAGTTTTAGTTTGGTTCGACAAACAAAATCGGTTACTCACCTGAATATTTTATCCGATATGTATTGCAACTTGTTATTGTTAAAAACCAGGGCTTGAATTTCGCATGAACTTAGCGTGTCAGCTTCTAAACTAGGTATCATCGAGTCCAGTATTTCAATTCTATCGATTTGTTTAATTGGCATAGCTAGAACAAAACAAAAAAATCATTAAAAATATCAATTTCACAATAGATTTTATTCAAAACAGCAAAACTTTAACAAGCAATAACATTGTCCTTCTTTAATCCGAACACAAATATCAGTTCGTCTCTCGAACTATTTCCAACTTCCGAAGTAAACAAACACAATTTATTTCAAAACGAATTTTCATATGTTTGAAAGTTTAAATTAGCATAACTTTGAATAGCTCCGAGTATTCTGGATTTCATCTTTCACCTGTTAGCAATCGTACCTATTTGATTTTATATATTTTATTTTGATTGTTGTTGAACTTTTTAAATTACAAAGTTTCTACGAAATCAATTTTTTTTATTTCCTGTTTCTTGTTCTTAGCTAAAACGTTAAATATAAGTCATCCAGATATTTTCTAAAGCTTTGAAATTGTAGAAGCTTCATCAAATGGCCAATATAAAGTTTTAAGTCATAGTACTTGAATAATATCGGAAATTCAAAATTACGCTTTATGTACGACCGTGTCGCAACGCACCTATTTGCGCAATTTGATAGTTTTCGGTCCATAGGGCCTCAGAGTAAGTTCAAGTTCAAGAACGAACCAGAATTATTGAAGTGATTGCTTGTTTGGTTGGTATTTGGAAACATAATTACTCGCGGTCGTACATAAAACCTTATACGTATGTATCACAGGCGCAAATAGTGTTTGAGGCTCTTCGCGTAGTTAAAGCCCTCGGCTGCGCCTAGTGCTTTAATTTCCATGGCCGCAATCACCCTAATTGCGGCCCTTGGTAAATAAATAATAATTTTAGTTGTTTGCATGGGACGCGTGAACGTTTCAAATGTGCTTCTTCCAAAACAACTATCTACTGAATAAAAAGGTATAAAGCGTCTCCTTGCACAAATGTGCATTGTTTTTTCAGGCAAAATCAGTTTTGAAAAACAAATTAATTCATTTTCAGAAATCCCTTTATCAATGTTATCCGCCCATAGCTAACAAGGGAGCTTTATCTGTATGCAGAAGCACATATTCGTAGTTTGGATTAGCATAAACTTGCATGTTGTTGATGGATAACCAGGTGTTTAAACTGTTAGACAATGATTGCTGCACGAACTATAGTCCGATTAATGACAAAGGTTTGTGTAGCTATTTGATGCTAAGTTTTACCAAATAGACAAATTGTATGGACGATAGGTAGAGACAATTTACAGCTCGATTTACAGTGTTCAAAAAAACCTGAAAAAATTATTGAATACTCCAACCAACGAACGAAGGAATAAATGAAAGAAAAAAAATAGTGAGCGACTTGTTGCATTCTTAGTATTTCTTAGATAACGTTCACTGGACATAATAGTCCCCAAGAATAGAAATACAGTTTAAGCCATTATATAAAGAAACCAAGACAATTAACTGTTTACATATTATATTTATGAATATGGTATTATATTTATATCATCAAAAACAGCTTTCAATAAATCCAACCAAAAATCTTGTTGAATTATCAGTTGCAATAACCTACTCGAGTTTTCTTGGAAGGTTCATAAGCACCATTCTCTTGAACTAGCCAAAAAAAAAATCACAAAAGTAAAATCCGGTAGTATCGGCGCCAGAGATTGTCAACGAATTTTGATTATCCGACTCCTGTAGTAACTAGGCTTTGTGAAGTTGTGAGAAATTGAAGGTGACTGCCGAAAAAATTATGTTATTTCACTGTGTAAAATATAATTACTCGCGGTTTGACATGAAATCTTGTATGTATACTATAGGCGCAAATGGTGTTCGAGGACGTTCGCGTGGTTGAAGCAAAGTCAGCGCCTCATGAATTAGTTTCCACGCGGTGGACTGCAAACACCCCAATTGTCCAGTTTTCGCAGATCTATTTGAATCTTGTATAGTTACAAAAAAAACGCGCTATGCTGCGTCACCTCACACGCGCCATACGTGTCCCAATTTGCGCCTTGCCCTATGTTGGTTTCTTTATGCAATTTATTTAAAGAAGTCTCTTCTGTCGGATATACATTTTAATTCGTTTTCTGTATTTCTCCAGTTGACCCCAAATAAGACAACCTAATGGGCTCTTGGACCTTGTTCTCTGTAGTATAGGGTATCAGATTTTCAGTGAATGCGATATTCTCCTAGCCTTTTACTCCGCCATAACGCGCCGGTGTGGGGGATCGTTGAAACCCTGAAATATAGGCAACCAGATATACACTTTTCATTTTGAGAAAAATGCAAAATATCGGAAAGCTGAATTATTCGGATTGTAGATAATCGACCAGAGAATGCTTACTTATAGTGCTAGCGGCTCAATCGAAATATTGGCAATTTGTGGCTATTAATGACTGGAAGGTGACACCTCGTAAATCGATAGCATATACAAAGCATTTTGACCCGAAGAACACGGTAAGAAACGTGTGTGGAGGGGATAATCCAATGGCGTACGTTTTTGAGGGGTTTATTTGGTTGGATTGAAAAAAAAAGTATGTTTAATCATCTAAATGATAATAAACTCTGCTTTTAAAAGACGTAGTTTATGATAAAATGTTTCCTTGAAGCATAGACCTAACTACTACGAATAGACGGTCAGCCAAACGTTGAAATTCGGCGACTTCTATTGGAGACCCGCCGGTAAAAGCGAGTATCCAAGGAGGATTTTGGCTGCTCTAGTTTGACTTATCGTTAAGAGATGGCTCGCTATTCTAGTTGATTTCGTACACTGTTGTCAATAGCGTTAGGAATATGGGAAGTTTGGGATTTTCATAAAATATGGGCACAAATCCTAATTATGATATGATTTGTGAAGTGTGTTTGAACTTGACTGAAAAAAGACTACTGAATCTCTTCAATTCCAGATATTTATTCCAAGAAAAAGTATCTTGATTCAAACGAAAAGTTTTCGATGCAGTTCTTCGTTTGTTAAACCATGTAAAGTTAGATTTCCTACAAATAAAGATAGGGCGTTAGTTTTGATGATCAAAATTTCTTTTATGGACCTGGGTTTCTGCGGGTAATCATGGCCTCATGGCAACCAGACTCCAGCAATCACGACCTTTGCTAAGGGACAAAAATATTTTTTGGTTATTCTCATAAATCACCGTTTATAAAGTTGATGGTTAAAGGGTTTTTCGGAGTTTGCGAAACTAAGAGAAATTTGGCAAGAACGAAAATATATTTTTCATATTCTCCAAAAATGGCAACTTTTTTCTAATTTAAACGCCCTCGCAACTTCAACCGTTCCCGAGATAGTAATCTATCTCTATGAAATATTTAGTTGGATATCTGTATAACCCCTTGTACTAGGACAATATTTGTTAACTTACATACAGATCGTTTCACCAGGGTTCATACTTGACCTTGAAACTTGAAAAAAAAGGGTTGTCGTAGATTAATTCATATGACACATTCAATTTTTTTGACAAAATAAAATAAATTACTTCTGGTTTAAGAACCGATGAACGTTTTTGACATCATTGATTCGTTTCAGTCAATTTCTATTTGTTAAAAAAGGAAGGCAAATTATATCAAAAGTATGAACCTTGATGAAACTAAGCTTACCTATTTATTAATAATGAGAGTTGTCAAATCAGGTCGATTCAAAGCGACACTATGTAGACCATAAGGTAAATTTCCAATAAAAAATGCGACTCCTTTGAGAGAATTGGCCTCCTGTCCAAAAACGGGGGGGATGGTTGTAAAAAACTCATCTGGAGACTATTTTGGCCAATAGGTATCTACTTTCGCATTAAAAAATAAAATAATAATATACAAAAAAACCTTCCTCGACTTGATAAAATGATACAAAACAGCTACACATCCTGTAATCATTTCTCTAATTCTTATACCCAATAATATTTTAATGGTTTATTGTTATTATTTAGAATAATGAATATTATAACAACCAAATGCGTGTCAAACTTGTAATCCCTTTTGTTAACAAAGTAACAAGAGCCCCATAATATGCTCAGTTTGCTCAGCAAATATAACCATTAGGGGTGGTTCAAAATAGTTCAATTAGTACAGAATGGCAAGGGCGGCACTGAATTGAAAAAAAAAAAAAAAAAAATAAATTACATAAAATATTGAAGTGTGAAAATTCAGACACACACGAAAAAAAAAAATCATCAAACGGTAATTGATAATTTTGAAAAGGAAATAAATAAGGCATATAACTCAACCAAATCTTGGCATAGGTAAAACTAATAAAACAATTAAGTAAGATTCAAATTAAATTAGTAGCTATTTTCACACTGAGGTCAAAATCAAGTATTGAATAATTTCAAAGTATAAAATCAATTATTAGAGGTTAACTCTTCATCAAATGAAAAAAATACATATATTACAATGTACCTCAATAGACTTGCCATATAGGTAAGTTCAATAAGAGACGCTGGCCATATCATTAATTTGGAATTGAAATATGAAGGAATTAAGTTTCCAGAAAATTAATTAAAAAAATGAATGATTAAAAATTATAATAAAGGGTCTCCCAATAGGAACGCACATTTTGATTTTTACGGCAATTTACTGTATCCGCAGTAGCCCAAAAAACAAATGATAAGAATAATGTAAACAGTTTGCGATTAGTAGCCATGAAACGATATACGGTCGAGCAACGAATTATTATTGTTAAAACACACTACAAGTATGGAGAATGTTATGCGGAAATAGTTCGTAAATTGCGTGGCATTTTTGGTCGACACAATGCGCCAAATCACACAACCGTTCAAAGACTACTTAACAAATTTGAGCGAAATGGTTCTGTCATGGACGTGAAAACACCAGTGAGTCACCGTAGTAGCCGCTCTGTTAAAAACATTGCCGCAGTGCGTGAAAGGATCGCGAGAATCCGGAAACATCTATCCGTCATCGTTCACAGCAGTTGCACATTTCAAGGAGTACTACCCATCGAATTCTCATGAAAGATCTTCATTTCCATGCTTATAAGATTCAATTGACCCAAGAATATTCTGTTCAGCGATGACGCACACTTTTACCTTAATGGCTTTGTTAATA